AATGGCAGTTTGTGCAATTGTTGGTTTTAAAATTTTGTATCACCACACACAAAGTTAGTAAACTCTGCCATCAAAAGCATCTTTCATAAATCATAATAAAACCCACCAATGTATTGTACTGAGAGTTGGTGAACCTGCTGGCTAAACAGAGAAAAGGAACAATTCTAGGCATGCCTACTCAGAAGTAAGCCTAATTGTGTTCAATCAAGATTACTTCTGGGGATTTATTTATTTAAAATATGCGTGAATATAATCTTAATCTCTAAGCAATTCACAAAGAATAAATAGCATACATCATAAATAACATAGCAGTGTAGAGATAAGGTTGCACAGGATTGCAGTTTGAGTTACAAATCAAGTCCCCACTCTGATATTCTCTCTTAGGCTAGCTATTCCCAATCATTCTCAGCCTCCCGCCTGTATTCTGATAATTCTGATCTGCCTTACAGGGTTATTGTACAGATTTTAATAAAATAGTGAATGTAAACTGCTTTGAAGGTATTTTATTTTTATATACTTGTTTGTAGATATATGTGTTTGTTTGTATGTATGTATATACCACTTGATTATAATAAAACCTCTATGTGGGTTACAATAAATATTCTAAACGTGCTATAAAAATACTAGTTTTCTGGCTTAGCTTGCCTGTTCTTGTTTGTGTGGATTTGAGCATCAAATAATACAAAGTATAAGTATAGTATTCTTTCTTAATTGTTTTCCTACGATTTGAAAAAAAAAAATTACCTACTAAAATACCACAATACAGTGAAGTCGAACGGTATCCATTCTGGAACTCCATTTGACTTCCAAAACATTTGGCAACCAAGGCACAGATTCTGATTGGCTGCAGGAACTTCCTGCAGCCAATCAGAAACCACATAAGCTGCATCATACGTTTGGGTTCCAAAGAACGTTCGCAAACCGGAACACTCACTTCTGGGTTTGCGGCGTTCGGGAGCCAAAATGTTTGACTCGCAAGGCGTTCAGGATCCAAGGTACGACTGTACTGAATTTAATAGCAGCTAATAAATAATAATAATAATAATTTATTATTTATACTTCACCCATCTGGCTGGGTTTCCCCAGCCACTATGGGCTGCTTCCAACAAAGATTAAAAATACATCAAAATGTCACACATTAAAAACTTCCCTGAACAGGGCTGCCTTCAGATGTCTTCTAAATGTCAGGTAGTTGTTTATCTCTTTGACATCTGATGGGAGGGCGTTCCACAGGGCGGGCGCCACTACCTCCTGTAGATTTGCTTCTCGCAGTGAGGGAACCCGCCAGAAGGCCCTCAGCAGTGGACCTCAGTGTCTGGGCAGAACAATGGGGGTGGAGACGCTCCTTCAGGTATACTGGGCCAAGGCCTAATGATGCTGGACCTGACAATGTCATTAAGAATAGAGGCATCATGCCACTTTCTCACTTCAAAAGCCAACCCTTTTCTGTGAGTACAGTGGTACCTTGGTTCTGGAACAGTTTAGTTGTTGAACAAATCGGCTCCCAAATGCCGCAAACCGAGAAGTGTTCCGGTTTGCGAATGTTTTTCAGAAGCCAAATGTCCGATGCGGCTTCCACGTGAGCGCAGGAAGCTCCTGCAGCCAATCAGAAGCTGCACCTTGGTTTTCAAACCGTTTCGGGAGTCGAACGGATTAAGTTTGAGAACCAAGGTACCACTGTACTGGATGGGGTGTTTACTGAAGCACTGAGGTGAAGAAAGGGGTGGATGTTGGGCTGTGGATATATGACTCCCATATATCTAGTTTAGAGCATTTTTCTGCAGCCTCACCTGATGTGCCAATTGCATCCCTTCCAGGAGAAATCGTCCCGACTCTGCTCTTGTTGCTTCAAATATGCTGCAACACATGTGGACTAGTGCAAAACATCTGGGGCTCTACCTCTGAAGTGCTTGGCAGTTTCAATTAGTTCATGAAGCACTGTTTTTACAGAATCATAGAGTTGGGAAGGTCATATTCTAGTCCAACCCCCTGCAATGCAGAATTTTTTTGCCCAACATGGGGATCAAACTCACAACCCTGAGATTAAGAGTCTCGTGCTCTATTGACTGAGCTATGCCACCTGGGTTGATGTGGCCCAAGACATCTTGATTATATCATCCCATTAATTCTTCAGCAACACTGGCTACCAATTTGCTCCCATGCTCAGTTTAAAGGCCTTAACCTCTAAACTTGGAGTCAAGATACCTAGTAGGACTGCCTCTTTCCATGAGTCCACCTGCCACACAAAAAGTGAGGCCCTGTTTGTTGTCTGTCCCCGTCCGTCCCCCACAATGTGAAATTTGGGCAGGGATGCAGCAGTTGGATAGGAATGCCCTCCCCAGGATGGTCTGTACCAGGGGTAGGCAACCTAAGGCCCGCCTTCTCAATCTGGCCTGCGGATGGTCCAGGAATCAGCATGTTTTTACATGAGTAGAACGTGTCCTTTTATTTAAAATGCATCTCTGGGATATTTGTGGGGCCTGCCTGGTGTTTTTACATGAGTAGAATGTGTGCTTTTATTTAACATGCATCTCTGGATTATTTGTGGGGCATAGGAATTCGTTCATATATCCCCCCCCCAAAAAAAAATATAGTCCGGCCCACCATATGGTCTGAGGGATGGTGGACTGGCCCACGGCTGAAAAAGGTTGCTGGCCCCTGGCTCTGTACCCTTGTCTCTGTTGGCCTGATGTTTTTTTGTTGTTGTTCCCGAAATTTTTCTTTTGGTTGCTTTACATTTTCCATTGGGCTGTAAGATATTTTGAAAGTTACTAAAAATTGTATTATAAACCAACTTCACGCCCTCGATAAAATGGTGGGATATAAATGTTTTAATAAATATATAAAAGGAGGGTGGTGGAAACATGTAGTTTAAAACCATTTATGGTGATATAGAAGCAGCAGTTTGAAGTCTGAATGGGCACAGTGGGTATTGTTTTGATTTGTTGCCAATCACTATGCAAATGTAATATAAATACAACTGTGCACTAAGGCCAAGCGGGCAAGTGGGCTTCACAGTTGACATAGTTAATAACCCAGAGCAAGCACACACAAATTGACTGTTGCAATATTTTATGGAAAGAATTTTGACTGAAACACAATAGCGAGACACTGTCAGATAATTTAGTGAAGTGCTGAACGGCGTTTCCGCACAAAGCAAGAGTGACTTTTTAATATTCACTAATTCCCAAACAAATAATAATGATCAAGAAATATTAAAATAAGCATTTTATTAGTTTCATTTCATTTCTTAATTACTCAAATTCAGTTTACCAAATTATTGCAGTGTGAAATGCTTAGAGGCAATGCTTACCATTAACAGGATTATTTACATGTAATCCCTCCCTCCCAAGGGGTATGAATGAACCGATCATTTGTGAATCCTGATTTAGGCTCTGAAACAATACCAGATGAATGAAATGTAGTTGTTGATGGAAGAGTAATATAATATGAAGCCATGATTTAGCAGTAAAATTAAACAGACTCCAGTACTTTATATGTCAACTTTTTTTAAAAAAGCATGTAGACGAACCTAAATGGAATTGCTTGCAAAATTGTTCATTTTATAAGAATATTTGCAGTTGAAATATGCTTAAAATAAAAACTTTTGGTTCCAAGCACAACCCCAAATTTACTCACACTGAAGGCCATTTTTACTTTTTCAGTTGGCTTGATTGAGATGAACAACGTGCTTTTTATCCATCATGCTTGCTTCTGAATTTTAACCAGTTTTTTATCCATCATGCTTTCTTCTGAATTTTAACCAGTTTTAACCAGTAGGAAAGCTAATTGCTAAGCTAAAAGCAAAATGAGATAAGGCGTACAGCACCATATTAGGGATCTCATGAAACAACAGTCAACAAAACTAATTTTATTTATTTATTTATACAAAATTTATATGCTTCTTATATTCATCCAAACAAGTGGGATGTGGTTTTGCCTTAAATTGCCTTTTCCTTTAATTAGTTTTGTAGGGTGAATGTAATTCTCTACACCTGAGCAAAGAGAATCAGACTGTAGTACAGGTTTCTTCAACCTCGGCCCTCCAGATGTTTTGAGACTACAATTCCCATCATCCTTGACCACTGGTTCTGCTAGCTAGGGATCATGGGAGTTGTAGGCCAAAAACATCTGGAGGGCTGAGGTTGAGGAAGCCTGCTGTAGTATGTAAGCAAGTGAGATAAGAGAAGGACAAGGCAATAAGGGGGGTGAAATGAGCTTCTGTATAGCATTTGTTTTTGTTGCTGTTGATGGTGGTGGTCCTTTACTTCTCTAAGCCTGGATCTCTCCTGGCCTGTTTCGCTGAAAGATTTGCTATGGGGATGCAATCAAAAACATCGCTGTGTTGACCGTGCCAATATTGGACACTGGTGCAGCTCTAAGGTCCCAAGTCTTGTGTAAAAATATATGACAAACGTTGGGGTCTGATAAACATTTGCTGAGGAGAAGCTCTGTGGTGGATTCTCAAATTGCTGTGGCATTTTAGAAAGTGCTGTGAAGAAAAGAGGGATTACAATATGGCACAGCCCTTCCACAGGAATGCATCAGATAATTTATAACTCATGTGAATGAAAGTATTTAAAATGATATCCCATGCACAAAACTTCCAAACCAGGAGGGAGGCTAAGCAAGAAGTGAGGAAAAGTTAAGTTGGGATCACTTTCATATAAAAACCGAATGTTACTGAATGCTGAACTAGCTCTTGCTGTGAGGAGAAAAATGGAAGCTTTGAAATTTTTGACGGAGAATAAATGATTACATAAGTGTGTGACACTAGAAGGGCTGTGTAAAGCTGTAAAAGAAATTTAAGCCGAATTATGCACCTGCAGTAGTAGAATAAAACAACACTAATATCACCCACAAGCTGATTGCAGATTGTTGTTGTTGTTATTATCTATAAAATTTGTATACCACGCTTCACCCGCAGATCACAGGGCAGTTAAACTGATAATAAATAAATAGATTAAAAATCAAAACCATAAACTAGGCTGCTATTAATGACTACACAGAAATATTATCAATGCAGATTTAACAATAGCAACATGGGCAGTATTTTTGCTACATCTGGAGTTACTGAGTTCTGGAAAGTGGGAGGCATAAAACAAAGCCCAATATTAATTGGTACAACATACTTCTGTATGAAATGGCCGGCCAATAAGGCTGATGTCTCTTCCACTCTCCCTATTTAACTCTCAAATTCAAAGATGCATCTAAAGTCTACTTTAGATTAAGATTAAATTAGGCTCTTTGTAATGAGAGGGGAACAATTGGGGGGGGGATACTTCTTAATCCATAAAAATATAGCTATGAAAAAATGCACGGGTAATCAGTTCCTGTGCAGCATACCTCATGTAGCCTAACCACAAAAATATCTCACCTCATCCTTTTATTTTTATGTTGCCTTTCCATAGTTAAAATCATGCTGAAGGCAGTTTACAGAATTAAAAATATCGCATAATTACAAACATAACAAAAGTAGTCATGAACAATAAATAAAACAAAAATACACAACCAAATTAAAGTTTCCCCATTAATCATAGTAAGTGCTAAAATAAAGATGCAAAAGATTACTACCAATAACAGCAACAACTTCCTTCACCCACTCCCCATCAAAACCCCAGCCCAACAATCTGTCCAGCTCCCTCAGCTTTTGTAGTTGGAGTCAGTCAGCGCCCTGCCCTCCCAGGCCAACTGGAAAAAAGGCTCTCAAAGGCAGGGATGCAGTTCTTCCAGGACTCACAGCCAAGATGGTCAGTAGAGAACATTATGTGACAGATTAGAGTATCGTTCCAGCATCTCTTAACAGATATATACACTTTCCTGGAATTATATTAATACCATATATATATATATATATATATATCTATCTTAATACCATCTTTTTAACTTCTTAGTCACTGCATACTGAATATTGATTGTTAATACAGAACTGCGATGCTCTGCGGATATGAAGCCCTTGTGTCAAATCTGAGTGAAAGGGAAATTTCTAAATCACAGCAGGATTAGGGTTGCTGGAGAAGGAAGCGCAGAGATCGCAGATGGAGGCTGCCAAAGAGAAACAGAAAAGGAACTTGAGCAGTGAGTCACATCTAAGTAAGTAGCTTGTAGGGATGGAGGGGTGAAATAGAGGACGGACAGGAGGACAGTGTTACATTTAAGGTGACCATGTGCCCTCATTTAGAGAGGACAGTGCTCTCTGTTTTAAGGTGTCCTCTCTTTGAAGAGCTGGCCAGTCCAAGTGCAGTTTAAAGAACCATAAGAAGGGGGAGCAAAAACTTTGAAATTACTCATCAACACTTAGCACCTTGACAACTGGCTACACTCTTCACTGCGGTGAGATGTGTTGTATGTGTATTGGAATTATCTTTCTGGCTTCTAAAGATGAATCTACACATACACTTGCTCTCTTTTTTGGTGATACACACGTGACTAACCTAACCGTTTTCAAAGAGTCAAGTTGCTCAGAATGAAAAGCAGAGGTAGGTTCTAAAGGCTGAGACCGGCAGTGCCGTATCATTGTTCCAATGTCTGAATTGTGCGGCTGGGGAGGAAAGTGGAGGCTCTTAATGAAATACACAAGTGCTATCCCTGACTCATCCCATGGTTTTGGCCAAACCATGCCTTAACATTTGTTAAGGGCTAGTATACCCTTTTGTTTGATGTATTACAGTATTTTAATATTTTTTTGGTAGCCGCCCAGAGTGGCTGGGGAAGCCCAGCCAGATGGGCGGGGTACTAATAATAATAATAATAATAATAAATTATTATTATTATTATTATTATTATTATTATTATTATTATTATTACCTTCCCAACATTGCTCAGATGCTGGCCTGGGCTTTGAGGTGCAGCTTCTTCTGTTCCAGGTGGCTCTGGCAGGAGACCAGCCCCAGCTTCAGCACAGCTACTTTCTCCCACAGGATCACAACCTTGGAACCCAGCAGTCCCAGGGCTTTGGCCAACCTTCAGCTTTCATCACCTCCCCGTGCCTCCTCCTCCTCCAAGACCCAGGCAGGGACACAAACTCAGCACCAGAACAAAGCAAGCTGGAGCCAAGCGACCACAATGGCCTCATGGACAGGTCCCACCCACTTTGCTTTATGGGAGACCGGCCAACTGAGGAGCGGGGAAATGGCGAAAGACTTTCTTAGGGGCATTCAGGAGACTTGGATCTTGTTTTCATAAAAACAGGAAGTGCCAGAGGCATAAATCTAAGAAATGTTGTAGAGGGATGCACAGATCTGAACTTTCAGTAACACGTTGAAACTCTGTACTAAAGGGAAGGCCTCTTGGGAATTCGGGACTCTGAGTGACAAAGTGAGAAGCCCTAGTGGCAAAGGGTTTTGGTGACAGTCCCGACATTTTCGGGGCAGTTGGAGACTATGGTATGCCAGGCCCCCTGCAATTTGAGCAGTAATCAGTTGCTTCTCTTATTTGACACAGGTGTACTGTCTTTACAATCTCGTGTTCCAGCCAACTATTTCGGTGGCACCCAAAGGTGACAGATGGCTTGCTTGGTGTACCTGCAGCACTCTCTTTGACTCAGCTGCTCATGGAGTATGGCACTGGAGTTTGGTTTCCATAGCACCTTACAGATCAAGGCAGATATAGCCAGTAGCAGCCAGTGGCGCTGCATTGCCCTCCTGACTTCCCAACACTGCATGCCACTGCCAGTTACTGAGAGGGGGAGAATGAAAGGAAGCAGGGAGCTTGGCACTGTGCAGCACAGCAGAGAAGCCAGTCTGATGCTCTCAATGCTGTGCCCATTCCAGGCCAGGCTCCCTGCTGTCCTGCCCCTCTCCCTCTTGGTAACCAGTAGTTACACACAGTGTTGGGAAGTCAGGAGAGCAGCACAGTTGCGCCAGGCAAGATGCCTATGGGAAGCCCTCAAGTAGGACTTGAATGCACCGTACTCCTCCCACTTGAGATCTCCAGCAGCTGGTATTCAGAGTTATTCAGCAGCCACTGATAGCCTTATTCTCCCATTTTGGCCCAGGTAGCTGAGCTTTCAAACCACCCAGGAACCAAAGCATTAAAATGCATCCACACAAGAAGTTGTTTGGAAATAGGATAGATGTGATGACATATGAAACGCTGACAAATGATCTGATGTGCCTGTGTAGTGCTCACAGCTCATATACGATTGCTGTAATCACAGTTTTAAATTAAATTATTAAGCATCAAACTCAGATTAATTGACTTCAGATCTGGGATTTGAATTTGTCAAGCTGAGCAGACATCGCTTGATTTTGTATCACAGTTATCCCAATTATAAATCATCACCCCCTTTGCCGGCAACTCACTGCAGCCCACTTTCAGCAGTGCGAACACACTTGTCGTAACTCTCGCCTTGCATTCAAAATGGACATTTGGAAAAGGAAATATGTGCTGGCTTATGTTGCGATGCCACACAGACTAGCAAACACAAACCTATTTGAGGAAGCAGACTTTTTTGCTTTTATTTTTTACACCCTGTTTTTCATTCCCCCCCCCCTTTCTTTAAGAATGACTTTGTGTGAATGATGAGAGAGCTGAGAATAGCAGAGGGCAGCTGGGCATTTGGAAGGCAGTTGCAGTTCTACATACAACCTAACTGTGTCACCATGAGGATGGGGTTCCATTCAGAACCCGAGCAATGTAGAGATTTACTCAGAGCCTGCTGCAAACAAGAGCTGTATAGTGGTATCTGGAGTATCCTACAGTACTTCTGTCTAGCTGGCTGGATACTAGAGCACTGAAGCATAGATTAATGACATCAGAGATGACTTGTGATGTTTCCTTTTGAGGTCCCATAGGTATCTGTTTATTTCCAGAAATATATACATTAAGCATTACTTTTAATAGTTGTGCAGGGGAAGGGAGGGAGCACTCTAGCAATAATTTTGTTGTTAGAACAGGATTGGTAACGCGGGATAACTACAGTACAGTGGTGCCTCGCAAGACGAAATTAATTCGTTCCGCAAGTCTCTTCGTCTTGCGAGTTTTTCGTCTTGCGATGCACGGTTTCCCATAGGAATGCATTGAAAATCAATTAATGCGTTCCTAGGGAAACCGCCTTCAGACCAGGTCCGGGGACAGACTGTCCCCGGACCTCTTCTGAAGGCTGGCGGGGCAAGGGCTTTTCTTCCCACCCCCAGCATTTTAAAACCCCGGGACAGCGGAGGACTTCTCCGCTGTCCGGGCGATCTTAAAATGCTGGCGGGCGGCAATTTAAAATCACCCCGGGACAGCGGAGGACTTCTCCGCTGTCCGGGGCAATTTAAAAGCCCCTGGGAAGGCAGGCGGGGGGAGCAAAGACTTTGCCCCCGCCAGCCTTCAGAAGAGGTCCTGGACCTCTTCTGAAGGCGGGCGGGGGCGAAAGTCTTTGCTCCCCGCCTTCAAAAGCCCTCCGGGACAGGCAGGCAGGGGAGCAAAGACTTCGCCCCCGCCCGCCTTCAGAAGGTCTTCCCTCCCCCGCCCGGCTCGGAGCACCGCCCGGGCCGGGCGGCGGCGGGAGGTCTTCCCTCCCCGCCCGGCTTCGGAGCACCGCCCGGGCCGGGCGGCGGCGGGAGGTGCTCCCTCCCCGCCCGGCCTCGGAGCACCGCCCGGGCCGGGCGGCGGGGGAGGTCTTCCCTCCCCATCGCCCGGCTTCGGAGCACCGCCCGAGCCGGGCGGCGGCGGGAGGTGTTCCCTCCCCGCCCGGCTTCGGAGCACCGTTCCGAAGCCGGGCGGCGGGGGGAGGTCTTCCCTCCCCACCGCCCGGCTTCGGAGCACCGTTCCGAAGCCGGGCGGCGGGGGGAGGTCTTCCCTCCCCACCTCCCGGCTTCGGAGCACCGCTCCGGGCCGGGCGGCGGCGGGAGGTGTTCCCTCCCCGCCCGGCCTCGGAGCACCGCCCGGGCCGGGCGGCGGCGGGAGGTGTCCCTCCCCCCGCCCGGCTCGGAGCACCGCCCGGGCCGGGCGGCGGGGGAGGTCTTCCTCCCCACCGCCCGGCTCGGAGCACCGTCCCGGCCGGGCGGAGGCGGGAGGTCTTCCCTCCCCCGCCCGGCTTCGGAGCACCGCTCCGGGCCGGGCGGCGGCGGCAGGTGCTCCCTCCCCCGCCCGGCTCGGAGCACCGCTCCGGCCGGGCGGCGGGGAGGTCTCCCTCCCCACCGCCCGGCTTCGGAGCACCGCCCGGCCGGGCGGCGGCGGCAGGTGTTCCCTCCCCCGCCCGGCTCGGAGCACCGTTCCGGAGCCGGGCGGCGGGGAGGTCTTCCTCCCCACCGCCCGGCTCGGAGCACCGCTCCGAGCCGGGCGGCGGCGGCAGGTGTTCCCTCCCCGCCCGGCTTCGGAGCACCGTCCGGGCCGGGCGGCGGCGGCAGGTGTTCCCTCCCCGCCCGGCTTCGGAGCACCGTCCGAAGCCGGGCGGCGGCGGCAGGTGTTCCCTCCCCCGCCCGGCTTCGGAGGAGCCTTCCGAGCCCGGCGGCGGCGGGAGGAGGTGTCCCCGCCCGCCGCCAGGCTTCGGAGGAGGTCCGAGGACAGTGGGGAAGACGCGCTGCGCTTCCCCGCTGTCCCTGAGATTTCCTATGGGCTGTCGTCTTGCGAAGCAAGCCCATAGGGAAATTCGTTTTGCGAAGCGCCTCCAAAACGGAAAACCCTTTCGTCTAGCGGGTTTTCCGTCTTGCGAGGCGTTCGTCTTGCGGGGTACCACTGTATGTAACTAGCACCTGGTATTTCCTCCTTTGTTGAAGTCTAAGAGTAATCAACACATGGATCAGTACTGGTATACATAACAACAGCACAATCCTGCGCATATTTGCTCAGTAGATACCTACTAACTACATTGGGGCTATCCTGCCTTATGAGTGGTCAAAGCTTGAAGCCTTAATACCACAACTAAATAGGTTGCTGTAAGTTGTACTGCTATTACTCTCAGAGTTTTATTCATACCTTTCAATAAGGAGTCTTTTTGGAACAATCACAATAAGGAAAGTCAACTTATATTGTGATCTGACAGAGTTTGAAATGTTAATTAATGAACATTTCAATGCTATTTGGCAGGGCTGGGGGGAGAGAAATACTTTATTAAAATACTTTATTATATGCTTACGACAATAAACTTAATGTAATAGGGTTTAATGTTTTATAAGTGCTAGCTCATTGGCATTTTATTAATTTCGATGGTGTTTTGCAAGCTGCTCTAAGAGGGTTTGATCTGGAAACATATTTTATATAACTAAATGCTATGGAGGGTAAAAGGAGAGATGGAGCACCAGTCAGAAGCACACATAGGGTCACTGCCCTTTTTGCTCTATCTCTAGTGCACAAGGGTATTAGCTTATAGGTATATCGTCCAGTAATGCTATTCTTTACAAGTTGTTGTTGTTGTCGATGATAAAAATAATATTCACACTTTATCCATGGATTTGAGAAACAGTTCATAACTTCAGAATAACACTCCTGGACTATGCCTATTTCAAAAGGTACACATGGGATTGTATGACTGAGTGTTTCTCCATGTGGGAACAGTGCTTGGATATGGAAGAACTCTGCCAGGATGTAATAATCCTCTCCCTAAAACCCAATAATACCACTATCCAGGTGGTATGTGGGCGACACTGAATATTTACAAAGGCTTGCAACAAAAGCTGGGACCCAAAATATATGATGCCTTAAATTTATGTGTAATTCAGTCCAATGTATCTGATGCATGTAGTGTTGAGTTGCAAGTATGTGAGAGAGTGTGTGTGTGCATATAGTTTGGGGAAAATTGTAAAGAGTGAGGTCATCAGAAAATGAGGTATGGAAAAGCATAGTTTATGAAAATCACATGATTAATAGTGAGCATTGGCAAAAAGCAGGTTTTGCTAACACAGACATCCTGGCATAAGTTAGCCAATAAACATATGCAGTGTGATAAAAAAAAATCATTTGTCCTGATTCAGCCCACAAGTGATAGCACTGAACCTCTTGATGAATCATAATTCAGCATTTTCATGTAGCAGTCTCCCTTTGTGGCATTGGCCACTTTAAGGCAAGTTACAGAGGGCTGTAGGAGACTGAAGTGCTCCCCCACTGGTTTTTATACACAGTACTGCCATTTCTGATGTACAGAAACTGACCTGATTTGTCCTATGTAGAATACAAAAGGGCACCACTGGCAGTTATCAAATATTACCAAGGAAGGTGAACAAAAAAAAACACCTTAACATTATGAATAATATTACTAGTATTCACTTTGTGGAAACAATGGTGCATCTACATAATGGATATATTGGAACCCACTGACCACTATACATTTTTGCATGTTTCTAACTTCCACTTGGAATACAGTGCTAAATCCTACAAAACAGCCTCATATATTCATATTTAACCAGCAAGTTTAAGATTCACAGCTCACAACTAAAGAATATACATCAAGTTGTTCTCAAATCCCAGCCAACTAAATGAAAAACAAAGCAGAACGGAACTACAAACTCAGATTGGGATTCAGGAATAATCTTATGTAGGACAGACCTAGAAGAGAAAACAAGACCGCCACTTGTTGTCGTCTAATTCCCAGCTGAAACTACTCAAACATTTCACCACTGATCTATAGTCCAACCTAGACACTTGTCTCTCACAGACCATGGGTAGCAGGCCAATATGTGCCAACAGAAATGTGGCAGATGCCAGGTCTGTCCCCATGACTCCTCTGACAACGCTATGTTGGAATCTAATGTCAACCATAACATCAATGGGTCGCAATGCAGTTATTACAGCCTGTACTTTTCTGCCTTTAACTTCTTTCTGACCTCACTGTTTACAGTTCCCCTATTCTCTCAACTCTGGAAAACACCTCATGCATCTGATGGTGTAGCCTATACTCCATGAAAGCTTACACTGTAATAAATTTGCTAGGCAGTATCCAACGTTAACCAGCGTAATCTCATGGAAATCTATTATTTTACTGAATTACATCCATTGATTTCGATGTGTCTCCTCTGAGAACGACTTCATTCACTATCACCCTTAGCCTTTAAGGCAGGGTTGGGGGACCTATGGCCTTCCCCATGTTACTAGACTTCAGCTCCCATCATACCTGATCATTGGACATGCTGGCCAGGGCTGATGGGAGCTGAAGTCCAACAATGCTGGGAGGGCCACAGGTTCTACCTCCCTGCTTTAAGGCACCACAAGGGGTTTTTAACTGAAAAATTAGTGGATATTGTCTGACCACGCATGTTTTCCCAAGGAACAGCAAGTAATGTTTAACAGTAGATATGACAGTTTAAACACATGTAGCTGCATTTAAGGAGGTCTTGAATTATGATGCAAGTTATTCTGCTGCTGTTGCTGTGTAAATACATGGAATGACATACCAATGCTGCCCAGTTCCAACATTTCAGCTAAGCCTGTGCGCTGTGTAATTGCTCACAACCCATTAAGCTTGATATGTTCTGTAGACTCCCATCTTTTACCTGATGCATTTATTCTGCATGGGATACCTCGAAGAGAACATATCTGATTCAGTAAAAGGCAAATAAAATTTAAACCATGCAAGCAGGATATGCTTTCAGGAAATCTCTGTATACAGGAAATATCTGAATGGGGTTCTTTTTTGCTGGCAATGATCCAGCACTCAGAGAATGAATATAAGGATGTTCACAAATAGTGCTGATGCTTGACTGATTTCATATGTTTGACCAGCTCGTTTTCTAGCTTTCATCTGCAGATATTATAACTCCCCCCCACCAAAAAAATCTACCATAATTTTAATTTGCTTCACAAGGCAACAAAAAAGCAAAACTAGTACAAAAAAGGTGAAAATGCATTATGCCTAAAATTGGATTAAAAGCAAATCAAAATCCAACTGTGAATTTATCATTTCAATGAATTTCAATGCATGGTTTAAAATCTGTTCAAAATCTATTTGAAAATGAATATGTAATAATATAGACATATCTCTTTTTATAAAGCTAGCATTGTTGGATGTATTCTGTGCATTATAATTCATGAACAGAGTAGATGACTATTTGAGAAGTATTAAAATGAGCTGACTTTTCAATACAGGTATCTTGACAATAAGTTTTTTTTTCTATTCTTGGCAATTCAGAAACGTAGACAATTGTGCTGGGAAAATAATATGTATTGTAATATTCATTGTACAGTAGAAGTATAGTAAGTGGCAATTCTGGACATTACAAGAGACACAAGGATTATTTTCTGTGATTGCACAGAGAATGCTTGGATTTCTTGTGAAGCTTTTGCATTGGAAATGAGATTCATCAGTCTGAACAGGGCAGGGTTAGAGCCCTTAGCAACATGCTTATTTTGTAGAAGGTCACTCAATAATAACTTCCTCTGCCCTCCAAGCTTATTAAGACTGACTGGCATATATTAATGAAAACACCTGATTCTCCAACCATAAAACCCAGACAAAGACTTTATTTTAATATTAAGGAAGGAACCCTTAATTAGCAGGGTTTCAAAAATGTCAGCTTCTTCTATTAGCTGTTCTGGTCCATCAAAGCTATAATCCCTACTGTCAAACTTCATCACATGATAGACAGTTTGCTGGCTTTCTCTCTCCTTTTTTAACAACTCTGATCATACTGACTGAAGCTTCTCTTATTTTGCTATCACATTTAACAACTTTGCATGCATTTCCATGTTGCATTGCTGATTTTACTCCTCTTTTCAAAGTCCACTTGTGTCAGCTAAAAAGGAGACGAATCTGAAGAAACACAAAATATTACAAGCTGATACACAGACACATAATTAAGGGCTTTCTGGAAGACTTATTCATAATATTGATTCTTTTTCCAGGGGCATGCAAATGTGGTTCTGTGAAAACGTGAAGGAAAAACAAGGGTTCACAGATGAATTTCCATCTCAGACAAGTTACAGAAAAGAAAGAACAAATGTTTGAAATGTATCTCTAAGGCTTGGGGAAAAAATGCACCGCCTTCATTGTTAGTCAGCCTCACTGCTAAAATGATCTAGTCAATTGAGAGCTGAAAGCAGTGCTCTTTAAAGCAAGACAGAAGAACTGCATCAAGTGGATATTTATTAAGTATTTACATACACAGCCTTGCATCCTGGTGCTCTTTCCAAAATCAAAGCTTTAGAGAAAGAAGAAAACAATACAAAATAAAGCAATGAACTGGATCCAAAGGTTGGGATTAGTTTAAAGCAGGGGCGTAGGAAGGGGGGTGCGGGGGATGCGATTCGCCCCGCGTGTCATCCCTGTGGGGGTGACAAAATGGCACACCACAGGGGGCGGCACTTACCTTGGGGCCTGGCCTGCAGCGTGCCTGAGCCACGCATCTCTCCTGGGAGTGACACGGTGGCTCGGGGCCCTGTGCTGCCTGAAATGGCAGCGTGGGGCTTGTCTCTGCCAGGCGGACTCCGTGGCAGCGCAGATCGCCCCCCGCCCCCGTGGGTGGCTTGCCCTGCCCCCGCCGCTCTGGGTGCCGCAGCAGCTAGCTACGCCCCTTGTCACATAAGGTTCCTCCACCCAGTTCTGATCTATTCTCACTCCCTGCAGCAACCCTCTTTGAAACTGCCCATGCTATTCAGAAGGTCCTCCATGAAGGCTTTGGAGCTTTGTGCAGTGTCAGAGGGCAAAGAACTAGTGAGGCAATGATAGGGTCGGCCAGGACATTTTGCTGGTGTAGGCCGCCCACCCTGCACCCACCATCACGTCTGCCACCACAATTGTGCCCTCGCCCACAGCTGCACCCGTGCTACTGCCACAACACAGTGTCGAGAGACCAGCATTAATAGTGACTGTGGCAGTGGTGGCATGGGTGAAGCTGTGGCAGGGCTGGCAGTTGCACAATGGGACTGGCAAAAGTGCAAAAGGGGGTGAGGCAGGGGTCAGATCTGCTGCCTGAGGTAAATTGTTTCGCCTCGCCTCATGGAAGCGCCGGCCTTGGGTAATGATCAGTTGTGCAAGTGGCCTTCCACTCATGCAACCTTTGAATTCAACTCCATATGCTTTATCTATTCATTCACTCAAAAAATTATACCTTGCTTTTCACCACATAGGTCTCAAAGTGGCCTACAACAATAAAATACATAATAGAGACACAATTTAAACTTCCAAAATATAAAACCTCAAGAATTTTAAAGCTTAAAAAAATAAAAATGTAAAACACCTGAGAAGCATTCAGGGTGCAAAGGTCTCCTGAAATAAAACAGTTTTGCCAAAACATCTGAAACTAAACAGGAATGGTGCCTATCTAATTCTTGTGGGAGGGAGTTCCACAGTGCCTGCAACACTGAAGGTACGACTTCTCATTGGCATGAATTGTGATTCTATCCCAAAGTGGATTCCCAGCTGATGAAGCATCAAGTTCTCAGTAATAGAGTGCCAAGGTACCATCTGAATTAGTTAGCTGTGCAAGTTTGGTAGCAGTCTGAGGAGGCAAGGAAGACTGCTATCCTTACCCCTCTTTTGGTCTAACAGATCTCAAGTTCCCAAGTAAAGAAGGATGGGGCAGGGTTTTAGTAGCTGTGGCACAAAAAGCAGTTTTTCACTACAACAAATAATGTGTCAATGAAGGTAAGGAAACAGCCTCAGCCCTCATTAATTCACTCATTTGCTGGCAGAAATTTGCTCCAGGGCAAATGAGATGTGGCTGTTTTCACATCCTTTAGAATGCTATTCTAGGGAACATGGGGTGCCCTATCCCCCTTTTCATCCACTTCTTACTCTAAAAAAACACTTTGGACTGTGTACTTCATAGGACATCTTCTCTAGTGCCACTGTAAATCTCACTGTGAACTGCCCTGAGACCTCTGGGTATAAGGCGGCATTTTAATAATAATAATAATAATAATAATATAGAATCCTAACACAACCTGACACTCTGCTCTTGCAGCACAGCTAACCACAGTCTTGGTCTCTTCTCTTATTGTTTATAGGTATGTAAACTAGACTTGCCACCAAACTTTACTCTAAAGCAGTTTTAAAGTACTATGTGTGCTAGGCAAAATATCTGAGGAATTTCAAGGAAAGCAAAAGGGCTTTTTTGTCCTGTGTAATAAATAAGACAAAATGTCTCTGTGGGGTTTCACAGTTCTCACCGTTGTCACTGAATTTAGCCTAAAAGCAAAACATTACGGAAATCTGGAGGTTCCCCTTCATAGACTCATATAATTGTAGAGTTGGAAGGGACCATGAGGGTCATCTAGTCCAACCCCCTGCAATGCAGGAATCTTTTGCCTAACATGGGGCTTGAACCCACAACCCTGAGATGAAGAGTCTTATGCTCTACCATGAAGAAGTTTTAGACACCTCCCTATAGACACCTCCCTAGATTAGGGAAATAGTTTTGTACTCGCAAAGGCCAAACATGAGACAAATTGGATCCTATTTTGCCTCCTCCTTGACATCACTTGGGGTGCAAGATGGCTTCCTCCTTTCTCCCTGCCATGAGTGAAACTCCAAACCTCTTCCTTTCTGGCTACTGATCTGTCAGTCTCCAAATTATCTCTCCCCACTGGCCCATCTGGTTTTGATCGAACAAGGAACGGAAGGAAGGAATTGTGGGTGGGTGGAAGAAACTACAAGTTTTTGATGTTCATATTCTGAGCCAACAAAGTGAAAGCTTTGGTTTCAGCTCTGCAAAAATGTGTATAAATTTCAAGGGAAGCAGGAACATCTGAAGCTGTCATATGCCGGGTCAGAGTATTTGTCCATCTAGTCCAGTATTATCTATTCTGACTAGCAGTAGTTTTAGGCAGACATCTTTTTCATCACCTGCTGCCTGCTACTTTTAATTAAATATGCCAGGGATTGAAGCTGGGACCATCTGTATGGAGGTGGGAGGGCATATAGATTGGGGCTGCTAACAGATGAAGTGCTAATAATTGTATATGGAGAAAGTATCAAGGTGTATGAATCCATTAAGATATGAAAAAAATTGAAAAAGTGAAAAAAATTAAACTACGAGAAAATTTTTTAAATGCTAGCAATGTAAAAGCAGCGAGAAAAAAAAGCACTTTTGAATGAGAGAATGCAAAGAAATGAGAATAATACAGTGGTACCTCGGGTTAAGAACTTAATTCGTTCTGGAGGTCCGTTCTTAACCTGAAACTGTTCTTAACCTGAGGTACCACTTTAGCTAATGGGGCCTCCCGCTGCTGCCGCTGCACGATTTCTGTTCTCATCCTGAATCAAAGTTCTTAACCTGAGGTACTATTTCTGAGTTAGCGGAGTCTGTAACCTGAAGCGTCTGTAACCTGAAGCGTCTGTAACCAGAGGTACCACTGTATGTTAAAAGCAGCACACATCAAGAAGAAGAAACTGCAGATTCTGGTAGCTACTATTTATGTTTTTAAAAATTCAGAAATTATCTGCTTCTGATCCCAGGACCCAACTGACAACCACAATTCAAAGTGTTGGTACTTGAAGGAGCGTCTCCACAGCCATTGTTCAGCCCAGACACTGAGGTCCAGCTCTGAGGGCCTTCTGGTGGTTCCCTCACTGCGAGAAGTGAGGTTACACGGAACCACGCAGAGGGTCTTCTCGGTAGTGGTGCCCACTCTGTGGAACGCCCTCCCACCAGATGTCAAAGAAATAAACAACTATCTGATGTTTAGAAGACATCTGAAGGCAGCCCTATTTAGGGAAGTTTTTAATGTTTGATGTTTTATTGTATTTTTAATCTGTTGGGAGCCATCCAGAGTGGCTGGGGAAACCCAGCCAGATGGGTGGGGTATAAATAATAAATTGCTGTTGTTATTATTATTACTACATGCTTGTTTAGTTCAGAGCTCCGACTTCAGTGTGCTTGGAATGGAACCCAGATCATCCCTCACTGAAAAACTCCTGGGTTGGATCCAAAGAACAGAGAGTAGAAGAAAAAACACTGCTAGCGTGGTTCGACAAACACTTGCACAATGGCCTGTATGATACTATCATCAGTTCAACAGTGGTTCTTGTACTTGCACAAGAGGCTGAAATGGGAAGTATCCAGTGATGTAAACAAAATGAGGGATGCTGGATGCTTATTATTATACGTTAATATATTTATTACTATGCTAGCCCAACATCTTTCTGCTCGAGGGAGCCTTCCTCGGAGGCTTATCTGTAGGGGGCAGGGGAATTGAACACCACTTGCTAAACCACATATAAAAACTTGTGCAAGTGGAAGAACATATTTGGATTTAACTTTGCTTTTCTCAGGCAATGTCCAAGGGCAGAGTGTAAAATTGTAATTGTCATGTCAAATGGAAATGCAATTGAGGTAGGTGACAATGGAGTTATAGACAGGAGAGAAGGCTACAGAAAGGAGTCTCAATGTACAGGAGCAGGGGAAACGGCATATTCAAATAGCCTTCAACATTCAGTGATAACAGCATTTAAGAGGAGGGAAGGTACAAGATTCTTATTTCACTGTGTGTAGAGCAGTGTGAGTTTGTGTGCGTGCCCACATACATGTGGATGATGGTAACCTCTAACCACTTTGCAACTGTTCATGAGCACACTGTGGTATGATGGCCTGAATAGATAGAATCCACATGAGAATTCTTTGGTAAGCGTACAAGTCTGTGCCAGACAGTTCTGCTTAGCCCAGCATAGCTTGTTCAGGATTCCCTCCCAACGCGATCCCTCTTTAGTATCCCCTAGGCTGGCCAAGAAGACAAGCATCACATTTGCACCTGGACTGTCCACCTCAATTTATATTTGATAAAGAAAGAAACTACTTTTCTCTTGCAGAAAATCAGTTTAGTTCCTTTCATGATCGAATTTCGGTGTATTGCATTGGCTATAATACTAACTCTGTTGAAGTCAGGTTGGAAAACTCCCATTGACATCAATGGAGTCTAGACTATGCTTTAAATCTTTTTGATAGATTGACCCAAAGGCCTTGTCTTACTATCTTCCTATTTGTACATTGCCTAGGCACTAGAAACAGCTAATATAACATTTAGTGCTGTAGTGGATTGTCATGGTGTTTGATTTTTTTGAGGCAAAACCTGTCATTTCAGAGACTGTGAAAAGGTCAACAAAATACACATTTTAAAAACAGGTTGATCTGCACTAATGGACACTAAAAGACTATAAAGTCTTATTACTGCTATATATATATATATATATATATATATATATATATATATATATTCTGTATAAAAATGCCTAGACATTAAAAACCCTACAGCCCCCACTCTTGCTCCGGGATTTTTTTGTCTTTTTCCACCTGCAAAACTCACAATAAAAATATGGGATGTGTACGTGTCAAAGGGGCACAAAAATTATCACAGATGTTGGACCCCACAGTTCAGCTCACCTTTAACAAGGGTACATATACCACCAGACCGGGGTACTTCTTTCATTGCAAATAGCAGAATATAGGTAGGGGCAGAATTCTATTAGTTGGCTTTGCAGTTGGCAACATCATCCTGTTATCTCTCGCTTCCATTCACCTATCACAGCTTACTTCAATTTAAGTGACAGGCACACAGGCAGTTGCTGATGCAGCTGGCTCTGTGGTGGAGGAAAAGGGTTAAAGGATGGTATGTGTGTCCTCAACTCCTTTCAACTAACCCATTTCTATGCGGCATAATGGCTTTGAACTTTGATGCTATGTTGTATTCAGCAGCAGTGCAGTAGCATCCGTCAGAAGCTGATGAAGAGGCTACTACTGCAGATTAATTTGCCACCATAACATTGCATAGGATGGAATCATGAAAAAGAACCAAAAGCTCAACCTAAAAATATTGTTCAATTAACAAAACATATTTGTTTTAACATGTTGTGTTAAGTAAGGGCCTTCCATGTCCTATTAAGCTCCCAAGATGCCGGGAAGCTGCAGCTGTTAAAGCCCATACTCTTAACAGATGTATTAGTTAGGGTATATGAATATGGTATCCTATCCTGTGGTTAGTTCCACCTTCATCACCAACTGTTAGAATGGTGGCCTCAAGTCCCACATTTGTTGACTGGAATCTGTGCAGCAAAGCTAAAAAAGATAAAGGTAAAGGACCCCTGACAGTTAAGTCCAATCGCAGATGACTCTGGGGTTGTGGCACTCATTTCGCTTTACAGGCCGAGGGAGCCGCCGTTTGTCCACAGACAGTTTTTCTGGGTCATGTGGCCAGCATGACTAAGCCGCTTCTGGCGCAACGAAACACGGAAACCAGAGAAGCACGGAAACGCTGTTTACCTTCCCGCAGGAGCGGTACCTATCTATCTACTTGCACTTTTTTTTGGCGTGCTTTCAAACTGCTAGGTTGGCAGGAGCTGGGACCGAGCAACGGGAGCTCACCCCATCGTGGGGATTTGTACCGCCGACTTTCTAATGCCATCCACATACATAGAATAACAGAACTGGAATGGACAAAATGCATTGAAAAACCAACATTCCATGAGACTGGATAACAACACTGCAGGGTTGTCATACATTCTCTCTCAGCGCACCCCCACCCCCACCCCGCTCCTGAACAGTATAGGAATAGCACAGGATTACTTTGCAGAATGGACACAACTGATGCCACTACCCTGCACTATGGATATAATGGTGAACTTAATTTAAGTTGGCTGGGATTTTAAAAAAAAATTCTACAAACTCTCACACACTTTTTTTAAAATGATTAAGAACTAAGTAATAAGAGCATGAACTTCTGACATTGCTGAGACCTTTTGTTTTGAAAAAAAAAATTGCTGACCTGTCACAGCTGCACTAAAACCCTGAATATCCCTTCCCACTGGTCATGGAGCTGCAATAACTTATCCATCAGCAAAGACTACTACTACTAATAATAATAATGATAAATAATAATAATTCAGAATGGACCAGGAAGTCCTTTCTGCAGGCATTTGGTGTGTTTTTCCATTCTTTATTAGCTTTATGGCTTGCACTTTCCCTCTGCCCAAAGGTCAATCATAGCTGTGACTTAAGTCATTGGCTATGAATACTGACAGGTAGTAGTGCAGGATGGGTTTTAATGGGTAGGAGATGATATGTTAATTGCAATTCATCCCTCCAGGCACCCATGTGAGTGAGTTGAACAGAATTTCAAAACCCCATTCTTGGCAGCAAAATTAAAACCATAGGAATTAGACTGTAAAACCTCGTTTTCAGCAAATCCAGCTATGAAGTAAGCTGGCTTTCCCCTTCTTACCCCACTTAAGAAAGAATCAGGCAAAAACTTACTTTATAATCATGCGTTGGCTCACAGCAAAGGCAGCAGCAAATCTATACAAGCAAAATACTATATTTACAGTATAACCAGCTTCAGGCATGCGCCTGAAGCTGCAACAAGCAGACGCATGTCTGCATCCAACACACACTGGTCAAATGAAGAGGGGAGAGGAACAGGAAGTCCTATATGCTCCTTCCTCTTCAGGAGAGGAGGGGAAATGACATCACACAGAGCTCTCTCTACCAACTGCATCTCTATCTGCCTATCAGCAATGCAGCTCTGGAGACTTGGATCTTCTCTTGCTACCTAGCAAAAATATGCATTTGTTATTTTTGGCTGCTAATCTCCCACAAGTACCAATATCATACCTCACAAAACAATTAGAAAGATTAATGCCTCCACATTATGCCTCCCATCTCAGCCTCCTATTTCTGAATCTAGGTCAGTTAATGGTCTAAACAGGCATCAAGTAGCAATTTCCTCACAAAGCCACACTCACATAGGCACAAAACTCTTATTTTTCAACTGCATATCACCCGAACTCAACGTTCAACATTATATTCCCTTTTATTTCACTTCCCCTCACAACAAGTTCATACAATGCAAGGGGGGTGGGCAGAACACACTAATGCATAGCTGTCAACTTACAGATTTGAAAATAAGGGACCAGCAGCCAAAATAAGGGACCTGCAGCCTCACCTGTTCCAGGCACTCTGGTCTTCCTGTCCTCCTGCAGTCTGGTCAAACTCATGCTGGGTAGCTTCGAGAACACTGTCCAACCAACTTTGTAACCAGAGGTTCAACTGAATAGAATCTGAATCACATGCACCACAAGGCCTATGCAGCCTCAACTTAAGATGGCTCCCGGCCTGGCTTTGCACTGCAAAGTTTGCAGCAGCACGTGCAACAAAATGGCGTCCAGCATTCAAAAACCTCCTCAGCTTGCATTAACTAGCCACACACAAGGCATGCAAGCTCCACCCCCAGTTGTTCTTAGACTTCTTATTGGGTGAGCAACACAGCCAAGCAACACAGTTGGAGCCTCCCTCCTCCCTGGCCGGCAGGGAGGGAGGGAGAGGAGCTGCTTCCTTTGAAATATAAGGGACATCATTTAAGGGACATTTAAGGGACATCCATCAATAAGGGACAGCAGCGGGACATGGCGCTGGAATAAGGGACTGTCCCTTCAAATAAGGGACACTTGACAGCTATGCACTAATGAACTCTCATTAGCTAACATCTGCCACCAGGGCTGTGAGAGACAGCAACAGTAGCAACCCAGTAAGGAGATCCTGGCCTGTGTGGGACTGTCATATACAGTGGTACCTCAGGATACATATGCTTCAGTTTACAGACTCCGCTAACCCAGAAATATTAACTCAGGTTAAGAACTTTGCTTCAGGATGAGAACAGAAATCGTGCTCGAGCGGCGCAGCGGCAGCAGGAAGCCCCATTAGCTAAAGTGGAGCTTCAGATTAAGAACAGTTTCAGGTTAAGAACAGACCTCTAGAACGAATTAAGTTCTTAACCCGAGGTACCACTGTAGCTGCTTCAGCAGCCAGGAGATTCACCTGCAAGATTGCAATTGTTGAAACATCGTAGAACGAGGGAAGGTGTTTGTGTGTGCGTGGAGAAACTTATATATACCTTTGCCTTGCTGTAATGACTATTGTATCACGTGTGTGTGTGTGTGTGTGTGTGTGTGTGTGTATACACACACACAGCAAACCGCCTTCAGAACTTCAGTTAGTAGGTGGGGTATGAATAATCATTTGAGGCTCAGGGGCCCTCCATCAGCTTTAGCTGGTGGACCAGCTGTGCCCCATCTGGGCAGGGATGGCCTAACTTGTGTTGTTTACACTCTGGTAGCTACCAGGCAAGATTACTGCAACGTGTTATACATGGGGCTACTTCTGAAGAAGGTTCAGAAACTGGTGCAAAATTCAGCAGTCAGGTTGCTCACTGGGCCAAGATGGGTTTGAGCACGTAATGCCAATCGTGGCCCAACTGCACTAGCTGCATCACTAAAGCCTGTTTTGAATGCAAGAAATTACAGGTGCGATCTGATGTAGATGTTCTGACATTATTAAATCCAGCAATTTTGTACTGAGTGGACACAGCACATAAAAGAGTTTGATTTACTTTAGGAGTCAAGAGGCTGTTTGAATCATAGAGAAATCAGAATGTGCTAGTAGAGTGCATGGCTGGTGCTCCATGGAATGTCTCATACAGGAGTATCCCCTTTTGCTAATAAGTAAAAGAAAATATTCAGGGGATTTTTAAAGAAGATCATGATCTCAGGAAATAAGTCTATGGGGGATCCTAGCTACATAAAAGATAGCTGGTGTGAGGAAGGCAAGAAAAGGAGAAAACAGATATAGAGAAAAAGAGGGGATCATTAAACAAGCAGAGCTCACATTTGTTAATATACATTTGGTAAGACTAATGGCATTTTTGTTTTACCTTTCACAGCAGTGTAATTTTGTGGGAGTGGGCAGCATTACTGTCACCTACAGGGAAGAGAATTCAATCTCTCACTGTTGGAGCGGGATGCTATTTACTGACTAAGAAATCTGCCTGCTGGCAAGGTTAGCAGCATTATTTTTGTACATAATGTGCATAATTAATGCTTGTGTGTGTGGACAATTTTGCGCTGCAAATAAAACTGTGGTCTTTTCTTGCCAGAATCCATAATAGTGAATCACTACAAGCAGGATCTTGATGGAGGATGTGAAAATAAAACCTACCAGTATAAAAGAAAAGGAGGGGAGGCAAGCAATGAGATTCTGTTCAAAGAGGTTGAATTGGATTTCAGAGGCAAATGGTAGGTTAATATGTCCTGCTTTTCTGTATTACAAGAAAAATCTGCTACAGTTTAAGGTATCTTGAAATAGGATTCTTGATACAA